TGCCCCTTGGGGTTGTCCAGCTGCTCAGCTATGCGAACGGTTGCAAGGTTAGGTTAGGTCTCCTCTCGTGGCATGCCACCTTGACGTGGTGAGAGGGCTCCCTGTACCAAAGATCCACTGAGGCAGTACCTTCGGTTACACCGAAGGGAGGGCTCGGTGGGGAGGTACAGGGTCTAAGAGCATGCTGTGCCCTCACTTCTCGACTCGTCGAGATGCGGGGGCACAATAGGGTCCGGCGCCCCTGTCAGGGGTTGGCGGCCCTGACTACAATCGCCCGGTCGGCCGGGACCGCTAGGGGGGAGTTTCTACTCCTCCCGCCGGCCTAGAGGAAGGAAAACCCCTTCTTTATAATCTTGTTCGCGGCGCCCACCGGACACCGCGCCCACGTCACACCCATTCCCTGAGGGCGACGGACTATCTCCCCGACAGTCACGTCGCCCTCCCTACAGCCACCGTCCGCGGTGATGGCGGCCCTGATCTCCGCCGGGGTGACGGAGTCATCCAGGCCCACCAAGCGCAGCCCGACGCACCTGACAGGCCTGGAGACCCGCACCCCGGAACCCTCCAGCGCGGCACTTACCTGCCGCGCCAAAAAGTCCGCCTTCTCTCCCTGTTCATCTCCGGGGACCTCTATCACGAGGCCCCCGGTGATAGCCCGTCTGCAAGATACTCTTGCCACTCCCAAGGCGGCGAGAGAGACCCTTTCTCTCGCCGTCCTGAGGACCTCAGCGTACGACGCCGGCGACCCCCCCGGGACAGTGACCGTCACCGCCGCCGTTTTCGGGGGAGCCGGCATCGCCGCCTTAGCCCTCTTTTTCCTGCCTTTGGACGGCGGCTCCCGCGACGCCCCCCCAGCCCCACTCCCACGGGAATCTCTTCCCACGAGAGAAGGGACAGGAGCCGCCGCGCCGCCACCGACCACACCCCCCGCCCGACCCCCTCCCCCGGACCGCACTGCCGGAGAGGAGGATGACCCGGCGGGAACCATCCTCGCCTCTGAGGATTTGCCCCCTGTATCAGGGGGGGCCCCCCTCATATCCCTCGCGAGGGAGCGTACCTCCCTCGCAAGGGCTTCCACCTTTTTATCGAGAGCCGCGAGATGGGGATTCTCTCCCCCCTCAGGCCCCCGGTCACCGAATGCCCCTTTACCAGGGGCATCGGTACCTCTATGACTGACTCGAGGGTACACCTGCGTGGCGATTTCCCGAGTCGTTTTCGGAAGAGACAGGCAAAGGGGCGCCGAAACCGACGCACCTCCACCCGCCCCCCCCGACTCCATGTCGACCTCCATTGGGGTCGATCTTGACAGCTCTTTTATTCTCTCTGTCAAGTCCTCTACCTGAGTTCTCAGCTCAAGTTTCTCAGCCGATAGCTTACTCGCTTTTTTTTTCGCCTCCACCATTCCCTCAATTGCCCCCTCGAGTCTATCCTTGAGGGTGCATATCACCTCATCAATATATATCGCGTATTTCTCCATCTGTTCATTTATCATTACGACAAATCTACCGCCTTCGTCCTCATCCACCACAGGGGCAACAAGGACTCTATAGAGGAGGTACTTGGATCTATCCAT